GAGTGAAGAAGATGACTGCTGCACTGCCAGTTGGTTTGGGTCTAACTTTTTTTTTCTTTTCTTTTTTTTTTTCCAATTTTTGGTCAAAGAGGGATGGGCCTTTAAAAAAAAAGGCCCAATTAATGGCCCTAGTCCTTGGACGGCTGGACTAGACCATGGATATATTTCCACCAAAACCAAATGACCAATCCACAATTGAAATGAAGTTAAGGCAGTGGCGGACTAACGTTGGTGAAGATGAGCAGAGGCAATACGCACACTGTGGTCTATGACGAGTGACGATAATCAACGAGGAGCAAGTGGTGTGGACTGTTCTTGTGTGGTGGATAGTAGACTGGTGGTCGACCGGTTTCTTGGTGACTAGTGAGCGCCATTTTCCCTGTCGGCTACTAGGCTATATTTCTCTGTTTGTCCTTTTTTTTTTATAGTTTTTGTTCTGTGAGTTATAATTAGTTTTTGCATGAGTTATAATTTATGGTTAATGATTAATGATTTGTGATTTGGGAATTTAGATTTAGGAAATTAGGGATAAGTGACAAAATTAATGGAGAAAATGGTTGAGTCAACGGTTGTGATTCACTACATTTATCTTGTTTGTGTGTGTGCATGTGTTTGTAGTTTGTACACAAGGGAATAGAGGAAAAGTGACTGAAATGCTATTACATCGTGGAGTCAACGGGAATTTAGATTTAGGAATCTATAATTTTTAATAAACGACATCACTATTACGATCGTTGAGTCAACGATCAATGGTTAATGGTCGACGTCCGCCCTAGCTGACCTTCAGCCCTGGATTCGCCACTGGTAATAGTATTGATTACAAATAACAACACTCAACACAAATATGAACATCACAAATTTGAAGGTTATGAACAACAAAATAGTCACAAATTTGAATATAATAAATATAAGAAGGCCACAAGTAAAAGCACTGGTCACAAATAACACCACTAATTGAAAATATGAAGGTCATAAATCTAAATGTTAAAAATAACAACATTGATCCGAATTGAATACAATATGTAAATAAGGAGGTCATAAATAAAAGAATTGATTACAAAAATGTTCATAGATCAGGTCACAAATAACGATACTGGTCACAACACAGTATAAATCACCTTTTGTATTGTGAATACTGTAAAAATATGGCCAAAATCCCTAATAATGAACTTGATAGATGTTGATGTGGTTAAAATAATAATTCTTCACAACTATGTGATTTAAAAATAGTTGGAATGCAGGTGAAATTGATTTTGAAATTTTTATATTTGGAATCATCAGACTATTGATTCACTCAAAGTTGACCTTGTAGACTGATGAAATCGGACTAACTATAAGATTTAGAAAACCAGAGAAAGAAAGCCCCTATAGTAAGAACAAAGAGGTAGGGTAAAGGCTTAGAGGTCATCTATTGATGTAGCCCCCAATACTACCATTCTTGTCGCTATCTATTATATAAATCCCCTCTATACTACTAAACAGAAGCTAAATATAAAATTCACGATGACATTGTGATTACTCAGTCGAAATCTGTTGTTGAAGAATTATACTTACCAAATTATGGCCAATTTCATCAATAACTTTGAAATGTTTTGGATGTAACAGAGATATTAATGAACTGATTTCCAAGATATGTAGTGTAAGAGAGAAATGGGAGGTGAGAAAAATGTTAGGGGGAGAATATGCCCTTGTTTAAGTCACATTATATTCCTAAGAATGTATTTTGAATAGTGTATTGATGAAAAATGTGTGGTCAAAAAATAAAGAAAAATTTTGAGTTGTGTGTAATATTATTTTATTGAAAAAAGTATTATTGAAATGATGTCAAATTACTGTTTAAGAATATATTTTTTTTGTAAAAATATGGCTCAAACATAGCCTATATTATTCAAAAGAATAATGTTATTTAGCCCCACCGAAATTATAACCTCAATCTATATAATATAGCATTCAATAATAAGTAAAAATTAAATGAGTAATTTAATTTCACTTTTCATTTAACCTATTATCTAATATCACATAGATTTTAGTTATAACTTTAATGAGTTAAATAGCATTACTCTATTTAAAATGAAAATATATATCATGTTTTTTTCCTTGTCATGATGATAAATCATGGAAAATGCTCATGTGTGGAAAATAGATGAAAAACTTTTGCTATCAAATACCCAAAATTGATGGAAAATTCATGGAAAGAGGGCCATTCAAAAATGGCCTTAAATTTTTAAGCAATTGAATCCTACCCCTCAATCCATTTCTGCGCCCTCAGATGTGTCGTTTGTGGATTGCTGATCTCACTTTCTACCTAACAATCCAAACTTCTATACCTAAACCTCGCCACCAACCCCGATAATTTGGTTTACATGAACCTGATACTTGCAATCGTTTTCCTATCAAACTCTCTTTTCTTGCCTTCCACCAAACGCACATTTCTCTGCACTTTTCTGGGCTTTTGTTTTTTAGATCCCTCTCTCGGTTTGTAATCCTTTTTCTTTCTTGGAAAATGGAGGCAAAGCTGTTAGGATTCGCTTCTCCTGGTGTAGTAAGCCCCAGTAACTCCAAGATTTCAAGATTAAGTACCCCTTTTGTCCACCAAATATCGCACAAACATAGCAGCTTTTGGTGTCAAAATTCAAGATTTCCTAGGCAGGGTATTAAGTTAATACAAGCCTCTGCAACTTCCATTGGGTATAGACTAAACTCATTTTTTTTTCCTTTCTGAATTTCAAATTGACCTCTTTGTCTTATTGGGTAGTTGGAGTCTTCTCTGCTCTGTGGAATTTCAAATTGATTCTGTGTAGTTATAACTTATCATTATTGTATTCACTTAGTGCATATTTTGTTCCATAGTGATGCAAGAGATTTTGAATTTAGCTCTTAGTCTTATAGGGTAATTTTAGTCCTCTCTGATCTGTGAAATTTTAAATTTGTTCTGTTTACATGTTATTTCTTATCATAGTTGTGTGAAACTTACTGCATGTTTTGTGCCCAGGTAATAATTTTTTTTTTATCTTATTATTAACTTAATAAATGCTTATTTTGAAATAATTTATGGTAGAACCTAATTCTGATTATTGCTTTCACTACTGATGGATTTATTGATAAATCAGCATGATTTAGTTATATTTTCTAAATAGTTTTTATTCAAAAGCAATTAGAGTAGACACGCGATAGCTTTTTAGTTTTTATTGTTTAATTTGTAGAATTGCAATTTTGAGGTTCCAATAATGTAAAAATACCTAGCATGCTTATTTCTTTTTGTTCCTTTGACTATACAATTGTAACATCCCAATTTCTTGAAAAGGACTCAAGTGTTACTTAATCAGAAAATAACATATTAAACACAAAAAATATAACAATCATTTATTTATCAATAAAAAATGTCTTTCAAGATTAAAAAAAAAAAAGAAAAAAAAAAGAACATTTATTCCCAAAAAGTAACCAATTATTTAAAACTCATTTGACAATATGAATTTCCCTTTTAAAATAAAAAAGATTTCGCCCCCACCAATCGATTTCTAGCTCCAAACTCCCAATCTCAATTACCTGAAAGGGGGGAAAACCTTAAAGGGTGAGATTTAAGAAAATCTCAATATAAGTGTGTGTAGTGAACAAGTAATTTGCATTTAAACTAAGGAAAACGGGATTTCATATCATACATATAGGAGAAACACGAACTACTTCATTCATAGGTGATAGTAATTCCTGTGCGTAGCGCTACTAAACTTCAGCCCTCTTATCATAAACATATATGGCCTATGAAACGAATTCGAAATTTTAAAGTACAAAATACAAGTTCGTATAAATCACATACAATATCACTTACCTCGTAACTTGAATGAAATTTGATAAAATGAGTGTGAAGTATTTGACTAATAAGAATCCACTTATGAATTCTTGTGTGTATAGGAAAAATGAAATGACTTTTGGTGTGTGAGAAAGGTGAATGCCGTGAGTGTATGTGTGAAAACAATTAAGAGCCCGTTTGAGCCACATTATTTGTAGAATAAGAATGAAAAATAGAGCCGTTATGGGCCCCATACAAGAGATAAAAATTCAAAAATGGTGGTTTGATGTGATGGATAACGGTCTTATTTTTCATTTTAATGAGGTAAAAATGGAGCTCAAACAGGGCCTAAATATTGTCATGGATGGAAGAATGGAATCTTTCCTCATGTGAAAATGGGATTTTCCCTTATTGGCTCCATATTTATGGCATTTATGATTATTCTTATTATAATCTTGCACATTTAACATATATTCATACATATAATTATGGTAATTACCTAAACTACTTTAGTTATATATATATAGTAATTACCTAATCTAATTCATTATTCCAAAAACCAATCGATTTTCTAATTAAGCATACGATGAATTCCTTTATATAGATTATAATTACGGTGGCAGTCAAAGGCTTGAAAAAAGAAAGTGATCCTACAAAAATTCAATTATGTCGTTAACTATGAATAGTCCACGATTTGATCCCTAAATTATATAAACCAAACAATTTGGTCCGTAGATATTCAACTTCTCACTATAAGGTCCTAATTTCTAATATTAATGATTATAACGAATTTTCGGGGTGTTACAACAATTGACCTCTTCCTTTTTCTTTGTGAATTTTTAGTGGGGGATTCTGATTTATTATATGATCGTTGCTTTTCTTAAAAATCAAACCATTAACACTGAAAATAAAGCACCAACAGTTAGATGCCATGATTTGAAACACCTAGTATGTAGCTATTGCCATTTACATAATGACACAAAACATTTAGCAGAAATTTGATTACCTTCAGATATGCTCAAGTGTTTGACACTATAGTTCATGCCAGCAAAAGTCCCCAGTAAATTGATTTTCTTGTTAATCATAGACGAGCCCATCGCAGCACAAACTTGCAGATGATATTCATACTCCTCGACCAATAAGATTAAACGTTGGACTACTTCGTTTTCTTAATATTTTTATAGGCATAGAATAATGAAAATGATGTATTCTTCTGTTGTGCTGGATGCCTATTTTCTTGATAGAATTTGCCATGATCACTGTACATGAAGGACTTCTCATTCATAACTATTTTTTTGAGAGCTTTGAGCCCTTCATTGTTGACATTCTTGAAGGTCTTGTAACTTTTAAAATTCTCTTGTACATCTATGTTCTTAAGTTACTTGCGTTTCCTTTCAGATTGACACCGAAAAATAGGGTCGATGAGACTGAGAGCTATACTCTTGATGGTATACGGAACTCGTTAATTCGGCAAGAAGATAGCATTATATTCAGCCTTGTCGAGAGAGCCCAGTATTGCTACAACGCGGACACATATAATCCTGATGCTTTTTTCATGGATGGATTCCATGGTTCTTTGGTTCAGTACATGGTCAGAGAAACTGAAAAACTTCATGCTAAGGTATATAAATCTTTATTTCCACCTTTGAGAAGTGAAAAAATATTCATTTTCTGAAGCATATTCAACACAGGTTGGAAGATACAAGAGTCCGGATGAGCATCCTTTCTTCCCTGATGATTTACCTGAACCAATTTTGCCTCCTCTGAAATACCCTCGGGTAAAGTGTTAGACGTGTGATCCATATCAGTAATTCTATCGTTTTCCCCTCAAACAAAAATACAATGTAATATTCCAAAACGGCAACCAGTAGAACTTACCAAACATTGCATGTAAATAAGTACATAGGGAAAATTGCACCATTGGTTGGCAACCTATTGCCGAGTAGGAAGTTGGTTCTCTACTTTGCATTATACCTTGTTCCAAATCTTTCTTCACTTGTCGAGTGTCCTTTGGGGAACACCTGTCCTCTTCAAATTTCTGGCCCCAGCTCAAGTTGAAAAGGAAAACCTTAGCTTCACAAAGTTGGACATGTGAGGATTACGTGACAATGTGATAGAGATTTTAACAGTTTATGTCATGGGAACTGTGCGACTGTAATACAAGCTGGACAACCAACTTGCTACCTGCGCAGTTAGGGATCAATAGTGAGATTTCCCTGTCGAAATTGTTGCATAGTGACAATAAAGGTAGAACCTGTCAACTAGGTAAGTACATTTATATGCTGTAGAACTTTGGCCTAATCATGTGTGTACCACTTTGGTTCTCTGTATCCTCAGTTTTGTTTGGTACTTGTTTATCAGCCAATCTCTGGAAAACTGAGTAATCCGTGATATTTTGCTTTCTAAAATATCCGAATCCGAGATTAATTGACCGATAGTTTGGAATACATTTTGTTCTATGTACAATAAAGATTATTATTTTACGTATTTATGCTTACAAGTAATCTTAATGGGTAGTTCAGTGGTCAGATATTGAGTTTGCTTTCCGGTAGTCATCAGTTCAAGTCCACTCAGAGTTATTGAGATGAGTACCCGACTTTAAATTTCATGGTCACGTGGGATTAGTCGAGGTGTGCGTAATCTGGTCCGGATATCCGCGGTCATAAAAAAAAAAAAAAATTATGCTTACGAGTCAGCGCGTAAACTGTTGTAGGCAAAGTGAGGGGAAGCACTACTTGATACTGTCAATGATTTGAGCATGTGCTGTTTTCATTGTTATGAGCTTTCCTATCTATTATCATTTTTATGTTTATCTGGCCTACCGTTTATAATTTTCTTTGATCTCGACATATAAATTCTAATATTCATACAGGTTTTACATCCAGCCTCAGATTCGATCAATATAAATGTCAAAATATGGGATATGTACTTCCGGAATCTTCTCCCTAGATTAGTTAAAGAAGGTGACGATGGTAACTGCGGATCAGCCGCAACTTGTGACACAATTTGCTTGCAGGTACCATTCTGACTAACTCTACAGGTTAATCTGTTACCTGAACGTCAAATGTATATGTCATTTTTCTAAATAAATCTCAAACATAACTTTAAGGACCCTGTAGTTTCCGAGATAATCACGTTTCATGTAAATGTCTTTGAACTTGAAACCATTGACCGAAAGTAGTGGTGATCTTGTTTAGAATTAATTAGATTTCGCAACTTTGCTTTATATTGATGCTGAATTCCTGCATGCAGGTTCTGTCGAAAAGAATACATTATGGTAAATTTGTGGCGGAAGCAAAATACCGAGCCTCCCCGGATGTCTATAATGCTGCCATTAAAGCACAAGTAAATTGATTTTAGTCATTCTTGATGTGCAGATGCTTCATTGAAATGCATTTTTATTCTCTTTTAAGCATGTTTCACATGGTGAATACCAATACTAATGGAGAGTTAAGTAAGAAAATAGCTAACATTTTGTTAAATTATACGGTCCAATCATATCCAGTCCTAAGTGCCCAAATGCACTTTGCATTTGGCCTTATTATGTATGCTAAAACGAGTTTAAACCAGTGCTGATTACTTAAGGTTATACTTCAGGACAAAGACCAACTGATGGATTTGCTAACATATCCAACAGTCGAAGAGGCAATCAAAAGGAGGGTCGAAATGAAAACCAGAACTTATGGGCAAGATGTGACTGTAGACGTAGGTGTAGATGGAACCGATCCAGTTTACAAAATTAATCCAATCCTAGTTGCCGATCTATATGGGGAGTGGATCATGCCTTTGACAAAGGAAGTGCAAGTTCAGTATTTACTGAGAAGGCTCGACTGAATGGAAGGATGGTTGGTATAATGTTTGATTGTTATGGTAAAAGCTGCTGCTTCTTTTTTTTATTTATTTTTTATTTTTTCCCTCTGTATATTAATACTGAGACAACTGACAGCATGCAACCAGAAGCTTCAATTATAAAGTTGGCTATTGAATAAAATTACTTGGGAAAACCTAAGTTGTTGCAAGTGATAATCTGTTCACTTTCTTGATTAATTTGTGAATTTCACATAAACCAATGGTGCTCTAGATGGTAGTGGGCCCCATATCCTACAATTTATGATTAATTTTATTTTAACCAATGGTGCGATGTGGGGTTCACTATTACTTAGATCGGTGCTAAGCAACATTGATGCTGCATAATATTATTTTTAAGTTGTTAATGGAGAAAAAAATGGATTTTTGCACTCTTTTTCTTGTTATTGTGGCTTTCATTTTTGGAAAAAATTCATATGTCAGGTGTATTGTTTACAACAATTCAAAACTCAGGTATAAAGTTTGGAAATTCAAAATTCAAGTTTCAGTATAATTAATTGAAAATATTTATTAATTAAATATAATAAAATCACAGTTACACAATTAATGGTCACAGATTTATGATTATTGGTTACATATCATCGAATTAATTGGTTACAGATTATTTTGAGTTCACAAATAAAAAATTTTGTATGTCACAGATTATTTCGAGTTCACTGATAAAAAATTTACAGGTCACAAATTATTTTGTAGGTCATAGCTCACATCATTGGTCACAAATTCAAAAACTATAGGTCACAAGTCACACATTTTCTAATTTGATATTTACAGATTACTTTTTAACGACAAATGATCGAATTTTAATGTCATAGTTTACGGCCACAGTCCCCACAACCATAAGCATCCCTTCTCTTCTTAGACTTCAGGCTGTAACAACAACTATCCGTTCTCTTCTCAAATGGATTGCCACAACCATCTCAAATTGCAACCATGCCTTGTCTTTTTTGAATTTGATCTGCAGTGGCCCCTGATCTGTAGCAACAAGCAGTGCTTAGCAATCGAGCGCAACAATCATAGCAAAGAGGGAGACGAGATCGATGGTGGCTTCTAGTGCGATGGAGAGAGAGAGATTATAGTGCAAACCGTCCGATCTTCATAGTGAACTTGATGCTCTATAGCAAAGCATGTCTATTAGAGCATCTGCAAAGAGAATAGAGGAAGTGGCTATGTGGTGTGCTTCTCTGCATTTGTGAACAATGGTGGCATCGATATGGTAGAAAGGAAGAGAGAGAATGATGGTAGTGCCGGCTTATGGGTTGGTGGTGTAGAGAGATTAGGTTTTGTAGTGGGGTGGGTGGGTAAGTTGAATTGATACCTGCTTTTTGCTTAAATAAACTTCCCATCTGAATTTTAAATTAGAAATTTTAAATGCTTGCTTTTATGTAATTTCCTCTTCATTTTTCTCTCCTTTCGCATAGAGTCAATCATTGGGCTGGCCTTGAACCTTCGGTGTACAAATGGATGGGCCTAAGTTTAGCCTTCACTTTTGAGGCCAATCTTTATATGGCCCATAAATTATTTCGGCCCAAAAGTAGCGGGCTAGCCCTCATACAAACCTGGCTTCAAGAATTCCTCGTTATTCTCTTAAAAATTTGACCCTTTTTTTAGCGGTAGACCAGAAAAAGGCAATAAATAAATAAACTGGTAGCACTAAATTTACAAGTATTTTATGCCTTTGGTATATTAATGGGTAAAATAGTGTTTTTTTTTTTTTTTCAAAATGAGTGGTTGAAAAAAAAATGAAAAGTTTTAGATTTATGTGTAATATTATTTTATGAAAAATTTTGTGGTTGAAAATAGAAAAAAGAAAAATGAAATGTAATAGAATGAAAATTAATGGAGGTCAAACGGGTGCTAAACTGAATAATTTTAGTAACAATGAACATTATTAGATAGAAGTATTATGATGGATAAAGATAGATATAATTTAAATTCCCATAATTTGGTGCACCAAATACAACCTTTTTTTTTTCATAAACATGTTTAGACTATTTTTCTTATCTTTAAGTGGGGAACCATTCAGATTTGCTTGAGACAGCGTAGAGATTGCTATTTATCACTATTTCAAAGGTCAAGGATTTAAGTGCCGTTAAGTGATTAGACATTTTAAATGATTTACATATTTCTATATTTAATAGGTCCAATCATTTATTATTATTTAATTGCAATCATGCTCCCTGTCCCGGTTTAGGGACACGGTCAGGGACGGGGGGAGCCATGTGGCGCCCCTGTCTTTAACCCTGTCCCCAAGTCGAGACAGGGGGCTTTATTCATTTAATTGACATCTAGACAGTTGATCATCAACATTATTTCGAAGGAACTTGACATGACGTGCTCTTCGTTTTCATATTCTCATGTGTGGTCAATTTAAGCCCCCGTTTGACCCCCATTACCTGAAAATGAAAATGGGGGGAATAGTATTTTTTAGAAAAATGAATGGTTGAAAAAAAGGAAAAGTTTTCGATTTACGTGTAATATTATTTTATGAAAGATTGTATAATTGAAAATAGGAGAAAAAAAAATGAAATGTAATGTAATTGAATTTAATGGGGATCAAACGGGGGCTAAGTAAACTTCTCTTTTTAATAAAATAGTGAAGCAATGAAAAGATTCCGAAATTTGTCAACTTCGTCACCCAAAGACGAACAAAGTGAGAGGCGGACAAAATTTTTATATTTCAAAATTTATATTATAGATTAAATATTGTATAATGTTACTTTTACATAAAATGACGTCCACTCGAATTTCCACCCCTTCAAATAGAGAGAATTCACTTCAAATAAATCATACTTTATTCGAAGTGGGTCTTGCTCTATGTATTAGATGTATATGTAGCATTATCCTTAAATTCACTGACTTGTCTCCCCCACAAACAAATATTTTTGCTGGTCGACTGGCCAAAGTTTACACTCCTATGTGTCAAACCTGGCTTATATGGACAGAAATATAACATTGCAAGTCAACACATGTATAACGCATTATGAGGTGATGAAAGTCAAATACAGCTAGGCCCGGACTTTCTACTATATTTATATAGGGACATTGTCAGAGCAGATTGCAAAAGACTGCGAGAAATGGAGGGGCTGCGGCGGAGCATAGGGTGGCCTGCGGCAGTGTTGGTGTTGACATGCGCGGTGCTGGTGTTGGTGCCGACGGAGGTATCTGCAACGCGTTTCATCGTCGGAGCTAACAACGGGTGGAGTTCAAATGTGAACTACGTCATTTGGGCTAAAAGAAAACATTTCTATCTCGGCGATTGGCTCTGTATGCTCTCTCTTTTGTATTCAGAACTATGCTTTTGAGCTTTTCTTTTAAGATTATTCCAGCTGGTTTTGTCAAAAAGATGCCTTGCTTATGAAATTAAACCATTGAGAATTGATACTAACATAAACAGCTTAGTTTTTGTTGCTTGTAAACGGGGGAAGATGAAGAACTGCAAAGTTAGACTCCGCTTGAATAATTTTAAATGATTTATATATTCGGTTAAAAATCAAAAGTCAATTTCAACTAAAAATTCATTATTATCTACACATTCCATTACTATTCATCAAACTCTCTAATTATAAACTATTTATAAATTTGACAAACGACGGCTTAATTCATAGTGGTTTTATTTCAATAAAATTAGTTCTACGACCCAATGTATGCCCTTTAGATTTCAGCAACTTTCACTCATGGAACAACACTAGCAGCAACTTCTATTTGTAGAAACAATTCTACTATTTATTTCATGTCTAGGAGTTTAAACTTTTAAACGAGTTGATTCAATACATACAGAATATGCGTATTGTGTATTGAGGTTTGGATTGTTTAATTTTTCACACTTGAAAGTAGTTTTATAATTTGCTAGTATATTCTGAGTTAGAAGCCATAATTTTACACCACCAAGAGTAATAAAATTACAGTAAAAAAATAGACACAAAAGAACACATAAAATTTATAGAAGTTCACTTTAATGTGAGACTATGTCCTCGTCTGTCGCTATAATAATTCACTGATTAAAAAAATTTATAAAAGAAAATAGCGTCCCATCTTCTCTAGCCTCTCTCTTTTAAATTCAATACATTTTATTGAGCCATAAGTTCATTCATCTGGACTTTAGTAGTTTAACCTCTGTTTTTGATAATTGATAATGATTAGATAACTCGTGCACATTGGTTCTTTAATTACTGAGTTTCACCTTTTATTTGGCTATCCATGGTCAATTATGAACTTATTAAAGACATGTTGGTTGAGCAGAGTTGTTACAAATTAAGTCCTAATCTTGATTACTAAAGAAATGATTAGTAACTGGCCTTTTCGTTTCAGTCTTCGTGTATGATAGGCACAAGATGAGTGTGCTTGAGGTAAACAAGAGAGATTACAAGAACTGCAATTCCAATCACCCGCTTCACAATTGGACAACCGGCGCTGGAAGGGACGTTGTTCCTCTCAATGTTACAAAAACTTATTATTTCATTAGCGGAAAAGGATTCTGCCGTAGAGGCATGAAAGTAACTATTCGTGTTGAAAAACCACAGCCCCGACCATCATCTTTGCCATAAAAGGTTGCTATCTTCTTGATAGTTTCAGTATTCTTAGAGTTGTTTGCTTTTGTATTTTGTTAAATTATTTTGACTTGAATGGTTTAGCCTATGATCATCTTGTGAAGAACAAAGTGTGGGTTGAGTATCTTTAAAATGGTTTGTAATATGAGGACTCTTCTGGCTGTTATTTAACTGATATCAGGTTCTTCTACCGCCGCGGATTCATACTCTTGTGTTTTTTTCTCTCTTTAGAATTTAGAATAGCAAAATATTATTCGTGAGAGTTAGTTGCAAGAATAGTTAGGTCCATTTGGCATGACTTTTGTTTTTGTTTGAAAACTAATTTTTAAAAGGGTTTCATATTATGGAAGTGCTTTTAGAGGAAATTACATCGAACCAATTTCCACAAAAAATGGCGTCATATTGCAGTGATCACCACTCCTTTATAGTTCCTCAAAATGATCCCGACTCCATAGAAACTATGACCCTTGACGGAAACATCAACATTCAATTCGGTATTGTTTTTCTTTATCCATTAAAATCTGCCCTTGTGATATTCAGCTTGGTAGGGAGAATGTCTCTAATTATCTTCCAGATGAGAATGCACTCCATAAAAAAACTCGAGCAGCCCGATAATGGGCTTGAGGGATGCCTGGGAATTCAACTTTTTTAGTGATATCATCATCTGGTTCCCAATTTTACTATGTACTTACTCTTCTAGTAAAAATGTCACATTGGCATATCACTAACACTTGGCACGTCAACAAGTAGTCGAGTATTGTAAGAATGAGGTCCGTATCAACTGGTAGAAGATTGACTTGAATCGCCTTCCAATTCCATCTCCTATCTTCTAAGAATAAATCTGCCGCACTCTAGAGGTAGTCATAGATCAGTTAAATAGGGCGAACAGAGTGGTGGTGGGCGAGGTGAAGCACTAGATTCAATATATGAACCGAATTCAACGAGACACTTGACATGATTCAATATATGAATTATTCTAGAAACGGAATTGATCTTCCTAGTACCGGTTGTAAGTGGTGCCATGTCATTCAAGTGATTAGCAAATCACTGCTTAGGAGATTATTCCCGATTCTAGAAAATTGTGATTCAAATTTGGTTTGTCAAACACTAGGTTAGTAGGGGGGAAAGGAAAATTTTTAATTGTTTTATTACGACTCCTTGTATTTTGAAAATTTTAAGACTATGACTAATTATTATTTTTATTTAAAGAAATAGCAAGTTTGTTATTTGAAAAACTTTAAAAGAGAAAAGGGTCGCAAAGTTGTTTTGCCCAACATTTGCTTGAGGGGTAACATGCCAAATTGAAAAGATAAGATTGTTTTGTAGAGAAAATGTAAATGATATTGTTGTTTTGTTTTAATTATCCAAAATAAATTATTTATGAATTATGCTTAGAATCTGTTCGACAATGACTATGAGAATTAATTTTTTGACATTTAGTGAGAAAAGTAGGTCTCATATGTGAATGAAAGAATAAAAAATGACGATTAAATAATGAAATAATGGTAAAAAAATTGATTTTTTTGGTGATGGCTATCAAACGGGCTTAAGTTTGTTTACCACTCGTATAAGCATATTTTGTAAGCTGAGCCAAACATTTACTGTGTCTCTAACGGAGTTCTTGGAGGGGATGAGATTCGGGATAAGATATTTGAGCCATTAACGGAGCTCTCACATTTTTCCCTCCAATGGCGACGACTTTTCCTTCTACCTCAGTGCAATCTCCCCAAAATTCCTTCCCTCCATTTAAACAATGCAAGATACCTTTTATCTGGGCCCCTAGAAGATTTTCTCGATGCATCATCCTGTCATTTCAAACTCAACTGCCATTATCACCACTGTGTTCCTCTAATGGCACAGACGCGGCCACGGCAGAAGATGAATGGCCAAAAAACTTAGAGGCAATGAGCACTGATGTTCTTCGACGCTTTATCAATCTCAATTTGGGCAATTGGACTGGCTCTCTTCATGTCGGTATCAATTTTTTGAATTTTGCTGATTTGAAGAAAGATGGACGGATTATCTTATGTGCGTGTGTGTGTGTGTGTTTTTTTTTTTTTTTTTTTTTTTTTTTTTTTTTTTTTTGGTGCAGCAATTTGATTGTTATGGGAATTTGCTGAATAAAATTAGTACAAAGCTTGCGGTGGGCTCTTATGGTGAAGATGAACTTCTCAGTTTAATTCAAACGTATGTTTCCTTTCATTACGGTTATGTTATATTAGAATATTTAAACGCTTTCCACTGGGTTTTGAGGTTAGATTAATTTTGTTTGGATAGTTATTGCCGGAAATTCATTCATTTCTTATACGTATTATCAACAAATGTTGCCAATATGCACTTTTGTTTGTGTTTGGAATTTTAACAAAGAATGGAGGTTAACAAGAAATTATTCAACATCCTGATTAATTAGTTTGGTTTCAATGAAGTTTTATTCCTATGGCAAACTAAGAAGAGCTGCTTGAAAAAGTAGTTGAAATGAATAATGCTCTAAAATAGAATCTTTTCATTTTATATAATGTGTTAGCGTATATAGTATAACTATTACTTCCTGTTGTTAATTTCCGCATATGAAATGGCAAACTCCAAGTACGTTGTATCATATTAATTTGATACTTACAAAATTAAAGAGAATAGTGTAATTGTGTAAATCTCAAATTGCCTCTTGTTTTTGCATTACATAGTTTATCAGCGCCTTTATCACTTCCATTCTTTTATTGAAATTTGTTTTCCTTAATCACGACATCAAGCCCTTTGGCAATTTATTTCTTCACAACAACCTGCTGAATTTAAGTTATTCACTTTGGTTGATTTAGCTCGAAACTGTTGGAAGAACTTAACTGGTTTTAAATAAATTTAGGTTATACATCAGACAACCTCCAATTGAAGATGGTAATGAGCCAGAGTGGTTTGAGTACAAAATTAAGGAAACTAACATGTTCACTGTGGACAAATATCAACAGGTGAGCCTTCTTATTTTGAAAGCATTATTGGTCACTCATTGTTAGTTCCTTGTTGCAAAGTTTTAACCTTCATGTTATAAATTTATTATATGGAATCCTTTTTTTGGTTATTTTATTTCAGCATCCATTGATATTAGTTTGCAGATAGGTTTCTTTTCCAAAGAGAAGGCTTTTGCTTTGAGGTATCAGACAGCTGGAATGTTGGAAACTGTGTTAAGACAAGGGGTCCTAGGTGAAGATGATATTGGAGAAGAATCACCCAAGTAAGTGCTTTGTTAGTTGAGAAACTATGTCTGAAGCAATAGCATGACTGCCTGTGAAAATTAGCTGTTTAACAGGTATCCCTTTTTGAAACAAAGACAACTTTTCGGTGTTAGATTTTCTTTTTGTATCCAATGCTCTATTTGGATTGGTGTGACCATTAAGAGCTATGTTTAATATGTAGTACTAGATTAGACTGTACAATACAATGGACAAGAGTTCAGCTTCTTCTTTTTTTTCCTTTAATATTGTTAATTGCTAACATGACAGTGATATTGTTTTCAATAATATCATGAATTCTTGATTGTACTTATGTCTTTACAATTCCTCCTGGTCCTTACTCATGTTGGTTCCATAGTTTTTCTTTCTTGATATTGCTTTACTTTTCACAGAAACTTAAAGCTACCTTCTCGTCGGCCTTCTCTTGTGTGCGAAAACTGTCTTTATTCCTTGGAGAAAGATATGCGAGTAAGAGCATTTCATATCATGGATCCACGAGGCATTCTAGATATGCTTCTTGTATTCCTTGAAGAAAAAGGCAGCAAAGTGCTTGTTCATCCTTCCTTTGACAATTCTAATGTATATTTAGATCTATACAAACGTTCCCTTTTTTTTTCAATTCGTCAATTGTAATTTGAATATCAACCATTTATCATCTACCTCATGCATCCTCAAATAATCATTTCCTAATACTAAGCTATTGGTTCTAGGAAACGGACAGGATTAGTCCCTTTTTGGGTTCATGGAAAGGTCATTCTAGAACAAAACGCAGTGGTGTTTATGGAGCTACAATAGCTGAAGCAGATACAATAGCTGTACTCAAAATGAATGAGGATGGTCAACTTATTCAGGTTTGTCAGTCTTGTAGAACTGTGTTCCCCTTTTCCTTCCAAAATTTGAGAGTTCTCAATACAGTAAAATAATTTTTTAATATTGTCGTTGTAATAATAATGATATAATGTTATAGCTATTCAAAGACTGTGACAGGTTTTTAGGATTTAACCATGATGTTTATCTAGGCTCTGCTTGAGTCCACGTAAATTTTGGGGAAAAAGAAACATATTTACGAGAGAGAAATTTCCACAAGTGGTCTTTTCTCAATATTTGTTGTCAAAAGCTTCTAGATGTTTGGCAGCCTTCTAATTTTCCCGCAAATATTTCCATCCCATTTTTAGTAGTTTGGTAAACTTCAAAATTAACCAGGAAATTGTTTTAAAAATGTCAAAGACGGCGGAGAAGATGTTCATCTTTCTCTACTGCGAAATTTCTCAAAGATAACAGAGTTGATATCTTTGAATGTGTTGTCTTTTTTCATTTAAGGTATTTGTTTATCTCATATTTCAACTGTTCGAGTTTCCATGCTCCAACTTGGTGGATGTTTATGGACATTATGTTTGAGTCGTACTATAGTTTTGTTTCGAACAAATTTTATACTGTGCTTTTGAGAGTTTTGGTCTCATCTCTGTTGGATTCTTACCTGATCCTTTCATTGGAACATTTAAGATAATTTCTTTCGTTTTCTTGGTGCTTACAGGATTTTACTTCTACATCAGACGGAAGCAATGTCACCACTAACGTACATTGGACAGGATCCATGTCCAACAACTTAGTCACATTCGACGGTGGCTTTCAGCTGACTTTATTACCCGGGAGCATGTACATGGGGTACCCTTCTGATGTAGCGAAGAGTGTGCAAGAATCAAAGTCGTTCCATTTGGAGTTTTGTTGGGTTGAGTCACCTGAAAAAAGACAGAGATTGGTGCGGACATACGATGTAGAAGGCTTAGCCGTCTCCTCTACATATTTTTATGAGACCAAACTATGAGTATTCATCTTCCTCTGTATACACTCACTTTATAAGCTATAATTGTAAACCACGATCGGAGGATTTGTTATTATTACACAATCCTATACAAAAGTAGTACTTCCCAAAACACTATATAAAGGGGATATGCAAATATGCATATTTTTAGTAGAAATTATCATTCAACTCAGCTTAACCTCTATAGAAATCAGTATTCTTCTAACATAAATTAGAGTACATATGACGGCTAAAGTTCAAGAACAAGAAATGTCATGTGATGAGAGAGCCTTGTTAAAGTATATTAGTCTTAGAAGAAGAAACACTGTAGATGTTGAAAACTGTCAATGGCATCCACATCAAGTTACGAGGTGCAAGACAAATATTCCCATTACCATTTCTTTTTGTCATCACATTCATGAAAAAAATCTCAATATCGTATTCATAAGTGAATGTCAGAGTAATGCGATGAAGGGGGATTATTACCGCAGTCACTGACTTTGAATAATATTACTTTTTCTCATCTTCTCTGTATTGGAAGTTTAGCAATTGTTTTATCAGACACATCACTAGGAGGAGGGCAGTGCTATATTCACTCATTTGCCACATTAACGAGGTAATCTGAGTTTGGAAGCCAAAAATAACATTTACAGCAATCTACCAAAAAAAATAAAAATAAAAATTGCAGCACAAAAAACTTAGACATGGTACGTGAAGTATAATTGTATTAGTGGTGGATTCAGGTGGTGGCCAGTTAGGGTGGCTGCCCCAGCTGGACTCGCCGGAGCCGCCGGGCACCACACCGGCTATGATAAATCTGTGATGACAGATTTTGCCCCTGCGCCTAGCTCCAGTTGTGATGCTGTTCAGCTGTTGGGCATTTTTATTTTTATTATTTTTTTTTTTTTTCCTTCAAACTAGGCTGGCCCAAATTAAGAAGCCCAAATCACCCATTGACATAACAGTATCTGTGGTGTGAAGTTCTTGTGTGTGTTGTGTTGTTTCTGGGTTCTCTCTCTCTCTCTCTCTCTGTTTTTTTGAGGTAAATAGTCATTTATAGATACACATTGTTGTATCTATGCATATGGGGGTTTAGTAATGCAAAAATTTGAAGTTTCTTAAGGTAACGTTTATGACTTGGGTAGTTGGGTTCCATTCTTTTTTGTTTTGCAGTGGGGGTTTTGAAACCAATAAAATGTTTGGGTTTTCAAGAAGAAGAATGAAGTTTGGAAGGTAATGTACTTATATTGCCTAAATATGTGTATTTTATACATTTTTGTGCTTATATTTTGCTGAATCAATGCATTTGTATGAGATAAATTCTTTTAGAATCAATGGATGTATTTTTAATCATGTTGTTAAATATGAGCTACCTTTATCAATGAAAGTGATCCTTTTTTTTCTTGTTATTTGTTGTTTTTTTCTTTTTATGGGCGAATGTAAAGATTGTCGAAGCTATTGATTTAGGTACAAAACAACAAAACAATTTTTCCCAAAACAACAAGTGGTCCAAATGACCAAATCAATTCCATTTTGAAGCTGAAACCGCAAAGGCCAAACTCTTTTCCTCCCTTCTTCATTCTATAATTTCCATCTGAAAATCGAAGAGGCAGCAGGCAGCAGCTGTTGCTACCAACGCCACAAGGAGTCGTCAGCGCTGTCGATCGTTGTTCTGGTCTCAAAATCTTCAAGCTCGTGCAGCCTTCGACTGGTTACTGCTGAGTGCATTTCTCTCTCTCTCTCTCTCTCTTTCTCTCGGTTTTGTTTTTGTTCTATTTTGTTGACTACTTCTACTTGACTTGTTGAATAATGAAATTATAAATATTGTCTGTAATTTGTAAATTGTGTTATTAGTCTTATTAATCATATTCACTTTAAAGGCAAATTTTTTATTATTATTTATGAGTTATGATTTATGTTTTGTGAGTTATTATGGAGAATTGTGATTTATGTTAAGTAATTTATGTTTTATGAGTTATGATAATTGATTTGGAAATATTAAATTGGGACATTTTGCAGATTATTGAACGATTTTTTAGACCGAAACGAAAGTCCATATCTAATTCTTCTAGTTCTAGTTGTGCACTAAGTCTTGCCATTGATTCTAAACTTTTAATAATATTTAATCAAATTTTAATAAACGATTGGGCTATTACGATCGTTGATTGTCGACGGTCAACGGTCAAGTTTCGCCCTAACTGAACTTCGATGATGGATTCGTCCCTGACTATATACATGATGTTCTTTTTACATTTTAATATATATATTTCTACATCATGAAGATTTGAGTTATTTTATAACTTCGTCCATATTAATTGTTGTTTACTATGTCGAATGTAACTTTACAAGCCGAGCAGGAAAATTTTCAACTGTATGAGTTGGCTCATTCTCTCTTCGGAACAGGCCAAGCAAGAAAATTTTCAAACAAGTTAGATCATTTTCAACTTGTCCAGAAGAGAGCATGAGCCAACTCGTACAGTGGAAGACCTCGACTCAATCCATTAACACCTCTAAGTATCAATCCTTGACTTCAGATTTTTAATTAATAATCCTTATCCAACTAGAACAAGGTGAAGTGATCATTTAATGTTTAAATGGATAGATTATGACTGAGTTCCTACTTCCTTAGCCTTTCACGTAGTATGATTATGGGTTCCATACCTTTAAAAGTAAGATTTTTAGATCCCCAAGTTATTTAAATATGTGATTTTGAATCCCCATGTGATAGCAATGTAGATGTTAAAATCGCACGCTACTCTCGATTGAATGTGAGAGAAATGATTAGTGATTTGATAATTTTACTCTTCAACTTCTAGTCACGTGAAAGTTACTTGAATTTTATCATCTACATTGACCATTTTGATCGATGAAGACTTCAATTTACAACTTTTCATAGGTTGAAGATCCAAAACATCACTTATATACAAGTTAAAAACACAATCACACAAAGTGAAAGATGAGAGGTCCATTTCCCCTTTTTAAAACATTGATGTGTTGCTATTTCCCACAATACTAATGTACCCTCGTGTATACAGTTACCCAACTAGCTTCTTCCTCCGACTTCTTTTTCTACGGCTGTCATATTCGGGGAAAGCTTGCCTCGTGGCCCATATAATATTCATCTCTACTTTGTGATAAATAAAGCATTCATACCCTGTTGGTCTTTCAGAAATTTCATAAAATGAGCTTTTTAGAGAAACAAGCGAGTTTATTGGGCCTTGACCCGTAAGTATTGTTTGGATCCAAGCCCAGCCGTCAACATAGTCTGGCAGCGAATAAACAAGAGGAAATTTCGTTTAGCTTCATCCAATTTCACGACCGGGTCAAACTTTTACCAGCTATTGGAATCGATTTGTTTGTTCAATTCCCGGGTGAGTTCTTCTCCGTTCACTGTAATGATTTATTTCATTTGTATGGATAGTAATATGCGTATGTAGTAGAAGGATCTGGAGTTCTGAATTTCCGGTGAAATTTAGTGGTAATTTGTTCTGGATTTTAATTTTTGAGCTAGCTTTCACGATTTAATTTTCTTTTTTACTAATTTCGTTTTTAAGCAAATTGTATAGGATTTGTGGCTTCGCTATAGTTGGGTTACCTTATCTGTTTATAGTCTGAAAACTTATTATTCAGTCTGCCTGTTAGTGATCAAATTGTGTACTTTTTGTTTCGCGATGGTCGTAATGTTGGGGATTGTTAACGTAGTCGTGGGGTAGTGGGAAGGGAAGTTACTTGTGGACTGTGATGGTGCGTTCTTAAGTTTTATGCAGTAAAACTATAGCTTGTTGGACTTGGGGAACATTGGGTTGGTTGGTTAGTGTGTGGCAATAGGCGGCACGGTGGCGGTTGGCGCATACTTGGAAATGGCTGATGGTTATATGATAAACAGTGACTTTTTTTTAATTTTTATTTTTTTAGAAAAAGTCAGAACCTTCTTGTGATGAGGTGTGTACTGCAGGTTCAGTGGTTTTTCTTGGGTTGTGCTAGCTCTCCCTTTCATAAATACCCCCTCCTCTCGCCTTGACTTGCTGGCCAATCTTAGGTCTTTCTGTTTACGGAACGAAGGCGGGGTGGATTGTTTGGGGCAGGGATGGGGAAGTTTGTGAATTTATACTGTGGAAAGATAATATAGCACTATCAAACCGATATAGAGAGCAGTTCGTGAGAACTTTTTTATCATGGGGAAGACAAACTTCATGTGTAAAGAATTGGAAAGTTTTATTCATTTACCATTTAATAACTCATTAATCATATCTTGGTATATAACTCTTTCCAACTTGACAATTTAAAACAGACTTTTAAAAAGCAATGGCCGCTACAAGAATTGAATATTCTAAAGCATTCAATTCTGAAAGAATTTGAACTAATTGTGCCACAGTGTTTTAAGTAATTAAATATTATATAATGGATGAAAAAAAATAATAATAATAATAATAACCATGATCCAGGCAGTAACATTATTTTGAGATCTAATGAATTAAATTCAAGTCAAAATGTTAGTTCCAAAATATGGATTTGATACCTGATCAATTCAATCAGGCACTTGCCATCTATTTTCATTGTTCAAATTTTTGACAATACATAGAGTAGATTGGCAGATAACAATACTTGTCCTTTAGAAAGGAGTTTATGCTTTATCGACTACTTCATATCATGAGCATTAAACATCAGTCAACATAAAACCAACTGACATGTTTTTGGATGGATATTTCTAAGAGAGAGTGAGAAAATTGAAAGATAGCCTTATTCTACAATGGAGTGAAATTATGAATTTTTGTTTCGTGATGGTCGTAATGTTGGGGATTGTTAACGCAGTGTGGGGTTGTGGGAAGGGACAGTATTTGTGGACTGGTGATAGTGTGTTCTTAAGTTTTATGCAGTAAATCTATAGCTTGTTGGACTTGGGGAACATTGGGTTAGTGACTGAGTGTGTGACAATGGGCGGCATGGTGGTGGTTTGAGCATATTTGGTTGTGGCTGATAATTATATTATAAACAGTGCTTTAAAAAAAAATAAAAAATGGAACCTGCTTGTGATGAGGTGTGAACTGCTGGTTCAGTGGATAGTTTTTTGGTTATTGGGTTGCAAATACCCCTCCCTTGGAGTTGACCGGCAAGACAATCTTAGGTCTTGCTGTTCACGAAACGAAGGGGATCGATTGTTTCTCTGATACTCAGACTCTTCGAAATGGACGAAGTACCTGTGTCCACACGACACAACATGTGTATGGGTATTGGGATGTGTCGATCCTTCAAATTTCTACCAGACATTTCTTGAAATCTGCTTCTTTTGTTTTCTTCGTTCTTCTTGTCTCTTTTTTTCTTTCCCTTTTCTTCTTTTCTGCTCTTTCTAAACTTGGAGCTACCGTCGAGAGGGTGGAGGAAGGCGGAGGCGCTAGGTTTTCCTTTCTTTTCCTTCTTTCTTTTTCTCTCCCTTTACTTATTTTTTTCTTCTTTTCTTCTCTGTGTCGATGGTTTAGGGTTTTCTTTGTATAAAATGAAAATGGGTTCCATATAGTGCTACTTAGTGTTTCACTAAATCCAAATTGCAACCAAGCCCCTCATTTTCTATTTTATACTGTGGAGAGACAGATATAACGCTAATAAACTGATATAGAGAGTAGTTTATCAGAGCTTTTTTATCATAGGGAAGACAAACTTCATGTGTAAAGAATTGGAAATTTTTATTCATTTTACCATTTAATGATTTAATAACTCATAATCAGATTGTTAAATAACTATTTGCAACTTGACAATTTAAAACAGATTTTTTAAGTAATTAAATATTATATGTTGGATGAAAATGAGAAAATTTATAACCATGATCCAGGCAGTAACATTATTTCAAAATCTGTTGAGTTAATGTAAAAGTGTTAGTAGGTTATGGTTTGTTCCAAAATATGGATTTGATACCTGATCAATTCAATTAGGCATTCACCATCTATTTCATTTTTTAAATCTTTGACAATACATAGAATAGAATGGCAGATAAGAATATTTGTTCTTTAGAAAGGAGTTTTTGCTTTATCAACTTATTCATATCATCGTTCAAGCATTAAAAATCGGTCAGCGTGACAACTGACATGTTTTTGGATGGATATTTCTAAAACCGCCTAAGATTGCCAGATTGAAAGATAGCCCTGTTCTACAATGGAGTTGGGACAAACTCTAGCCTTAGGAGTCACTTGAACCTTCTCATTTTACACCCGTTGTCCTTATTGGATTGGCTTCGACTCTTTAACTCTCCTAACACCTGCTGTCTGAGGTTCCACCTCATTCAGCACCATGTTACTAGTTTAGCATGTGCCATTTTCATAGTGTCAAAACTCTTTCTGTTGCCTAGATATTGAAGTTTATAAGCCGCATTCGCTAATTTTTTGCCTTCTTGTGTACAAGGCATACGGCATACAGAAATAGATCTAAAGTAAAGATGTAGGATACAGATTAGATGATAGCTCAATGTTGAATACAGGTTAAAATATTAGTATTACTTTCTCAGGTTTTTAATTAATCTTTACTCTTCTTTTCTTTTTATGAAATGACTCTGTATAAAATTGCCAGAAAAAAGTTCTTCTAGGAGAATCTATGGTAATTTCTAAAAATTTATTGTAAATTGAAACAGTTTCTGTATTTTGGGTAATCCAGTAAGTTAAAACAGAAAGCAAAATATTATCAACTCATGCTATTAGCTCAACTGCAGATCCTTAGCACTAAGTCCTCTTGTTAAGCATACATGGGTATATGTAACTTAAATATACATAGCTTAATTACATGAATGATTATACTCCATTGTTACGCCCAAAGAAAATTAGTGTAATAAAAATTGCTCGGACAGTGATTGGTTGCCCTCAGTCTCATGACTCGCTCACACTTAATCTGGTGTCTTGATCTCACATTTTCACCTTTGTCTCCATGTAAATGTTTGGGGTAGTTTCATATTGCTATTTAATTAAAGCAAGGTCTTGTCATTTCACTGTACTTCTCTGTTTTAAACATATTTTTCTCTGCACACACGAGTTTCCATGTTTATCTCCATGCATGTTGAAAATTATGTTTAAAACTTCCATGTAGTTTTCTTTGTTTGTCTTGGAAATTTCTAGATCTTAAATGTTTGAAATAGTTGAGTATTTAGACCTACAAATTTATTATCTTGGGAAAGTTGTTGAAATGTTTTAAGATTTAAGGTTTATGTGTTAATTTTTATTAGTTATTCAACTGTGTGCAATTTTTTCGGCTTCAAGTTCATTGTCTTAAATCTCATAAAATTTATTTTTAGCCTACTTATTTTTCTTCACCTGTCTTCTCTTTGATTTTGAAACTCCACAGTTCAATTGGAGTTGGAGTTATTTGACACTTTTATAACCAGCATTTACATTGATCTTTATGGCATCTCGAAGAAACATTCCCTACAGTCGTCTTGCTGATGATGAAGATGATTCTTATGATGGTAGCGGAGAAAGGCAAAAGGACCCTCGATTTGACTATAGCCCTAAATCTTATGATAAAATTCCATGGAAATCCATCATCCTTGCACTTTTCCTGCTCTCCCTGGGATGCCTACTTCTCTTTCTTTCATTCTTCATTTTCACAGGTCACATGGGTGGAGACCGTTCCCAAGCATACGGCCTTTTAGGACTCGGAATTCTTACCTTCCTGCCAGGTATCTTAAAGGCATTTCTTTGGAAGCATTTCTTAACATTAAGATATCATGTTAGAAGAAGTTTCATGTTAGTCACTAAACCTCTGAAGTTTTCATTTTTATTTCAACTTGGGGTCTTTCTTAAAATCCGTCAAGTGAAGGCAGAAATTTGACGTTGCACCAATATAAATCTTTTTCATGTCGGACATTTTCTTTACAAAAGTTGCTCGTTGGCTGAGGCTGAGCTTAATGCAAACTGAACAGCTAAAACCTCTTTTGAGCTGTCATTGGTTCGCAATTGGCATGCGAGCCAGCTCGTCACAGGAGTGAAAATGTCAGTTCAGTTAAAAAAACACAAACGATGGTGTAGCGAGCCATGCCGGGCTTTTTGGTAATGAGCTAGCACGTGCTCCGCTCGCCCCATATGTGAGCACGAGCTGGCTTGCATGGTGGGCCTAGCCGAGCCTGATGGTGGCGAGTTGGGCAGCGCAGCTCGATCCATTTAATATCCCTAGTTTTAGCCCTATTTGGGTTCCATTCCAAAAAAAATACATTTTTCTCTCATATTTTCGACCACACATTTTTCAATAAAATAATATTACGCGTAATCTAAATTTTTTTATTTCTTTTTTAACCATATATTTTTCAAAAAATACTATTCCAAAATACATTTTTTCCCAAAAATTGATTTTAATGGAGCCCAAACAAGAGCTTAATTTAGTGATTGACTTGAAATCGATAGCGAACTTAAATTATGAATTTGGAACACACAGAGTTTGATGACTAACATGAAATTAAACTATAAGTTGAGTGACTAATAGTACCCTTATTGCTTATCCTTTTTTTGGGGTTAAATTTTTGGATAAATCTATTGGTACATAATTTTGGGTCCATAAGTGTGTCCATATACTCACCCATGTAAGAGTGGTCCCCACTCCATGTGAGTGTATGGACACAGTTATAGATCCAAAATTATGTACTTACAACTCTAGATTTTTTATCTTTGATACATTGCACCATGAAGTCATAGTTGATCCTGCTTCGTTTTCCTGCATGTGTTGCTTTTGGAATTAGTAATTTACATGCAGGCAAACATAAGCAATCCAATGTTATGGAGTCTCTAGCTATTCTTTTTGTTCCCAGGATGCTTCAACTGTTTAACATATCATGTTGTTGTACTTCTGCTTCTTATTTGGCAAACATAAGCAATCCAATGTTATGGAGTCTCTAGCTATTCTTTTTGTTCCCACGATGCTTTAACTGTTTAACATATCGTGTTGTTGTACTTATGCTTCTTATTTATTTCTCGAGCAACTGTTCGATTTCTTGATTGACTGACCACAAAATCTCTGCAGGCTTCTATGAAACTCGAATTGCATATTATTCCTGGAGAGGTGCCCAAGGCTATCGCTTTGCTTCAATTCCCGATTATTAAGGTTTTTTGCTGTTTTATCCACCCTAGCTTTGATGTTTATGAACAAGTTTTTGTTTGAGTTAATGACATATATTTTACCATGTGGAACTGTCAGCCTTCACATTTGATTACTTTTAAGTATCTGAGTTGTACCAAACATGTAGTTACTGTAATTGGCCTGAGCAGAAATCCTGTACCATATTCAGATATTCTTCAAGAATGGCTTGTGTAAAATGAGTTTTTTTTTTTTTTTTTTTACGTTAAATCAGAAAGAATTAAACATGATAATTGTCAAATTTTGTCTTGTTCATCGGTTTTTTAATTTTGTATAGTCAAGTGTTTTGATACGAGTAATACATTTCCCTAGTTTAACTTCTCACAAAATAGAATGCCCTTCCTTTAAAGGAACTTAATTAAGAATCTTACCTTTTATTTTTTCTACCTCCATACGATACCACATAAGTTTTCTTTGAAATCGAAAATGAAATTTCTATCATAAAAAATTACAAGTTAAATAAAAAGTGGAATTGGGGACGTAATAGCAAATGAAGATTACAGGTCATCCTGTTCCCCTCGCGAGGGATAAAACAACAAATATAAGCATCTACTCCTTTCATCAGAACTATAATATTAGATAAATAAAATACCGACGTAAGAGCAGATTTAGAAAGATTTGATATTATTTAAAATCATATATGTTCAATTCTATTGACGTTAAGCATTCTAATTATAGAGTCACGAGTATCCAATCTTCTAAATTATAAATGTCACCATCCCAAAATTTGTTTAGAGTTTCCTCTCAAGCTTCAAATGTGAATAATGTAATCTAACACCAATTTAGATGGTCAAACTTGATAGATTTAATTAAATGAATCTTGTAACATTGTATTTACCTATTATTTAATGTCATGCAGATTATCACCTAAACATATACTTAATACTAGTTATGGTGAATAATATTACACTTCGAATATAGCCACCATGGAAATCCCTTTATGGAACAACTTAAAAATGCTCAACTTCAAGTGCAATCATGAAAAATCAATCAAATAATGTGTCATTTTGGCGCAAAACTACCCATCCGTACATTATTTTCAGATGAGGAATTTTCTTTCCAACTAAGAATTACTAGCAAAATTGAAAATGGAATCAACTTTAATTCAGTAAAATGTCAAAACAAAAATGCAGAAGAAAAGAAAAATTCTCAACCGATGATTTGAGCTTCCATCATGAAACATTTATGTCAGTTTTGGTAACCGTATTGAATTAAGGGATAGAATTATGGAGGATAGAATCATAAATAATTATATTAAAATGAATTAGGACGAATTTTTCTAATACGGTTTGGTGCTACATCATATTAGATCGTACATGTAATGCCCTAAAATCTATGTCCATAAAGTTGTTCAAATAATTCCTTTTGCCATTATAAAAGTTGATTGACATATTGTAATATAAAAAATAAAAATAAAAATACATTGTAGAATATTTTGAAATAAAATAAGTTATGTTATTGTCTCATAATATGTCAAATAAATTAAATCCACTAATGATATATAAATTCATTGATTTTGAAATTAAAATTCTGATTGCAAAATAATTTAAAACTAAATGCTAATATTGAAAGAAAATAAAAAAACGTCATCTATAGACACGGATTCTATCAGCCGTCTCAACCTGCAACTCCAACTCCGATCCATCAAGCATTTGTAAAAATAATTTAGAATATTGAATGAACATACGAATACATTCAATATAAATTTCATGCTAGAATTTACACAATTTAATATAAAATCATATAAGTACAACTCTATTGACGTTAAGCATTCTAATTACAGAGTCACGAGTATCCAATCTTCTAAATTATAAACGTCACTATCCCATTATTTGTTTAGACCTTCCCGTTCAAGCTTCAAATATGAATAATGTTATCTAGCATGTATTGTTAGAACACAAATTTAGATGGCCACACTTGATAGGTTTAATTAAATAAATTATGCGACTTTGTATTTACCTATCATTTTTGCATATTGTCACCTAAACTAATATTTAATACTGGTGATGCTGAATAGTATTACTCTTCAAATATAGCCACGAAGGAAATCCCTTTATGGAACAACTTCAAAAAGCTAAACTTGGAGTGCAATCATGAAAAATCAATCAATAATGTGGGTCTTTTTGGTGCAAGACTACGCATCTATGCATTATTTTCAGAGGAATTTTCTTTCCAACTGAGAATTACTAGCAAAGTAGAAAATGGAATCAACTTTAATTCAGTAAAAAGTTAAAGCAAAAAAGCAAAAGAAAATAAAAATTCTCGACCCATGATTTGAGCTTCCATCATGATACATTTAGGTCAGTTTTGGTAACCGTATTGACTTAAGGGATAGAATTATGGATAGTATCATAAATAATTGTATTAAAATGAATTAGTACAAATTTTTCTAATACAACGATTGGTGCTACATCATATTAGATTGTAAATGTAATGCTCCGAAATCTATGTCCCAAAGGTTGCTCAAATAATTCATTTAGCCATTATAAAAATTGATTGACATATTGTAATACCAAAAAAAATAAAAAATAAAAGAGAGTTAAAAAAAAATGAAGAACTTTGCGAAATAAAATATTTTTTTGTCTCATAATATGTCAAATAAATTCAATCCACTAATGACATATAAATTCATCGATTTTGAAAATAAAATACTAATTGCAAAATAATTTTAAACTAAATGCTAAATATTGAAAGAAAATAAAATTCTTGATCTATTGACACGGACTTTATCAGCCGTCTCAACCTCCAATTTCGATCCATCTAGCATCTATAAAAATAATTTAGAATATAAAATGAGCATATGAATTCACTCAATATAGATTTCATGCCAATATTTTCACAATTTAATATAAAAAAACATATAAAATACGCACATAACATAATTTTCTAGTGAGATTGAAACTTGACCGTCTCATTCTTACTTGAATGAGTTGAATCATACCCTTTCTCAATCTCCACTTTGGGTATTTAGCCCTATGACTGGTTTTCGTGTAGATCTACATAATAATATCGTATGGTATTATCCACAAAATTTTATTTAATTTGATCATGTAATAACACATAAAGTACTTTACATTCAACATTTAAAAGTGAAAACACAAAATCACTTCGCATTTAGATAAATCCATACCTTATTTGTCAAATTACTTTTATACTAGAGCTATTTAGGACTAAAAATTTTTGCGAACGAATCTCAAACGCGCTAGAAAACCTTATCTTTTTTTCTTTTTTCTTTTTAATCTTCTTCTTCTCTCTATCTGAAATTGTGTAAATTGAAGTACAACAACAAGAGGGTATTTATAGATGTGATTAGATAGGAATAGTTTGCAAATTATAATTTTAATATGACTCATAATTTAAATTGAGATTGATCTTTAAACAAATAAACTTATCATGAAATTCGAATTTAAGATAATTCTAACTACGTGAGAATAAAATTCAGTGTATATATATGTGCAAATTTCAAGTTTTATCTAAATACTTTAGTATTGAATAATTCAATAATAATTTAATAGATATCCAAATAACATTAAAATTTAATTTCATATAAAACTCATATATAATCCAATTATTAGAAATATTAATATAAGGTCCATAGAAAATGGAAAACTTACTAAGTTACCCTAACATATGTTTGGGGCATTACATCTTTCTCTCCTTAAAAAAGATTTTATCATCGAAATTTATCTTGATTATCTAAAAGCTATAGATATTTAGCTTTAATATCTACCTCATATTCTTAGGTGGACTCTTCCACCACATGATTTCACCACTGAACTTTCATCAATGGAATTTCTCTATTCCAAAGGATACGAATCTTCTTATCCAAGATGACTATCGGAGCTCTTTCGTAAGTTAGATTTGAATAAATATCTAACGATTGAAGATTAATCATGTGGCCAAGATCCGATACATATTTTTTGAGCATTGAGACATGAAAGACATTGTGTACTGCTAAAAGTTCGGGAGGTAATGCCAACTCATAAGCATAGTTCCCACATGTTTCAAAATTTCAAAAGGTCCTATATAACTTGGTCGGTATTTTTTTCCTTTTTCCAAATCGAATGACTCACTTCATAGGTGCTATTTTTAGAAAATTTTGTCACCAACCTTAAACTCAAGATCTTTTCTCCCATTATCTGCATGACTTTTATATCGATCTTGGTAGTCTTTTCAATAGCTTGGACTGTCCGCTCAATAATCTCAAGCCTTAAAATTCTTCGCTCGCTAGATTCATCCCAATGAGCTGGAGATCTACACTTTCTACCATATAAAGCCTCATAAGGCACAATTCCTATGATTGTCTTATAGTTATTATTGTAGGAAACTTCTACCAATAGTAGATTTTTCCCAAGTTCCTCCAAGATCTAGGACATATGCTCGAAGCATGTCTTCAAGAATTTGAATTGTCCTCTCCGAATGACCATCTAATTGTGGATGGAAACCCATACTTAAGTTTATCTTAGTCCTCATTGCCTTGTGCATACTTTTTCAAAATTTTGAAGTAAATCTCAGATCTCTGTCTAACACAATAGAGATGGGGTGCCATGTAATCTGATCACTTTTTTAACATAACTAAGCTAATTGATCCATATTAAAAGTCGTCTTTACTGGTAAGAAGTGAGTTGACTTTGTCAATCTATCAATAGTAAACTAGATTGCATTATTTGCTCTATTTGATTTTGGAAAACCAACTATAAAATCCATGACGATGTGCTTCCATTTTCATTTACGAATCTTTATTGGATTTAATAATCCTGATGGCTTCTGATGTTCTGCTTTTACTTGCAAGCAAACCATACACTTCTTTATGAATAGACCTATGCCTCTTTTCATATTCCGCGACTAGAATACGCTTTGAAGGTCTTTATACATTTTTGTTCCCTCAAGATGTGCTGCATGTAGGATGAAGTGACCTTCTTTTAATATTTTTTTCCTATCTTCTCATCTTTCAGTACATACAATTTTTCTTTAAACATCAACGTGTTAGCTTCAGCTAGCTCAAAACCCTTTCATTTGCCTGTGCCAACTGCACCTTTAATTTTTTTGTAGAAACAAATCACTATCCTTGGCTTTCTTAATTGGGTCTCAAATAGTAGGTTGACCTGTGATTATAGCAATTCGTGACGTAATATTCACTGGAGGTAAAATCACCTCAATTTGTAAATGATTCATATCT